ATATATACACACACAAACCGGATTCCAAAAAAGTTGGGACACTAAACAAATTGTGAATAAAAACTGAATGCAATGATGTGGAGATGGCAAATGTCAATATTTTATTCGTAATAACATAGATGACAGATCAAAAGTTTAATCTGAGTAAATGCAACATTTTAAAGGAAAAATATGTTGATTCAAAATTTCACAGTATCAACAAATCCCAAAAAAGTTGGGAGAAGTAGCAATAAGTGGCTGGAAAAAGGAAATTGAGCATATAACGAACAGCTGGAAGACCAATTAACACTAATTAGGTCAATTGACAACATGATTGGGTATAAAAAGAGCTTCTCAGAGTGTCAGTGTCTCTCAGAAGCCAAGATGGTAAGAGGATCACCAATTCCACCATTGTTGCGCAGAAAGATAGTGCAACAATACCAGAATGGTGTTACCCAGTGTAAAATAGCAAAAACTTTTAAGTTATCATCATCATCCATGCATAACATCATCAAAAGATTCAGAGAATCTGGAACAATCACTTTGCGTAAGGGTCAAGGCCGTAAAACTCTACTGGATGCTCGTGATCGCCGGGCCCTTAAACGTCACTGCACCTCAAACAGGAATGCCACTGTCAAGGAAAGAACAGAATGGGCTCAGGAATACTTCCAGAAAGCATTGTCAGTGAACACAATCCACTGTGCCATCTGCCGTTGCCAGCTGAAACTCTACAGTGCAAAGAGGAAGCCATTTCTAAGCAAGCTCCACAAGCTCAGACGTTTGCACTGGGCCAGGGGTCATTTAAAATGGAGTGTGGCAAAATGGAAGACTGTTCTGTGGTCAGATGAGTCACCATTTGAAGTTCTTTATGGAACACTGGGACGCCATGTCATCTGCACCAGAGAGGACAAGGATAGCCCAAGTTGTTATCAACGCTCCGTTCAGAAGCCTGCATCACTGATGGTATGGGGTTGCATGAGCGCTTGTGGCATGGGCAGCTTGCATGTCTGGAAAGGCACCATTAATGCAGAGAACTATGTTCAGGTTCTAGAACAACATATGCTCCCATCTAGACGTCATCTCTTTCAGGGAAGACCCTGCATTTTTCAACACGATAATGCCAGACCGCATTCTGCAGCAATCACAACATCATGGCTACGTAGGAGAAGGATCCGGGTACTGAAATGGCCAGCCTGCAGTCCAGATCTTTCACCTATAGAGAACATTTGGCGCATCATAAAGAGGAAGGTGCGACAAAGAAGGCCCAAGACGATTGAACAGTTAGAGGCCTGTATTAGACATGAATGGAAGAGCATTCCTATTTCTAAACTTGAGAAACTGGTCTCCTCTGTCCCCAGACGTCTGTTGAGTGTTGTAAGAAGAAGAGGGGATGCCACACAGTGGTAAAAATGGACTTGTCCCAACTTTTTTGGGATTTGTTGATGCCATGAAATTTGGAAAGTTTAAACTTTTGATCTGTGATTTGTGTTCTATTCTGAATAAAATATTAGATGTTGGCACCTCCACATCATTGCATTCAGTTTTTATTCACAATTTGTTCAGTGTCCCAACTTTTTTGGAAACCGGTTTGTATATATATATATATATATATATATATATATATATACATATATATATATATGGTGTTTTAAGCCCTTCCCACACTCTTGCAATATTCTAAACAACGTTTCTAAACTTTAAACGCTCTAAGAGCACAGAATGTCATGATTTCCCCCTCTCTGCCTCCGCTGCTCTCAGCCACCTGCAAGTGTTCTTGGCCATGCCCTCTTCTCTGCTCTGCACGGAGAACAGCTGATCGACTGATCAGCTGCAGGAGGAAGCTTATCCTGCAGTATGGGCTGCACAAAGATGCAGCCGGTGCTAAATTATTTAAAATAATTTATTTAAAATAAAAATTCCATGCCGATCATGCGGCTCATCCATCAATCAGACAATTATTTTAAAAAACCGTGACAGAGCAAGTCCACAATAAACGAACCACAAAGTAGCGAGGGACTAATGTACAGTAAAAATACTATTGTTAAAACGGCTAAGAACAGACAGAGTGATGTTTCTTCAGATTATTTTGGGTCAATCTCTGAAAGAAATGATGAGTCATAGTTCAAATAATATAGTTTCAATAAAGACCAGGGAGTTTACCTTTGATGTCACTTCCTGTTTCACTTTGGCCAAATAAAAAAAGAAAGCATGTTATATGACAAAATGAATACTCGTGTGTATTGTGCCAAATTTTTTGAATATTAATGTTTTCTTTTTTACTTTTTGTTTGTAGTAAATGCATGTCACAGTCACTTTAAGATTTACAGTTTCTATTCAGTTTACAGTCTGCTGCTTCTTGATCTTTACAGACTCTTTCAAATGCATCTCCGATTCTATTTAAGTTCTGCAAAAGGTCACGTGCAACGTCTGGCAGGTTCACCCAGTGCTTACAGATATGACATTCTACAAACACAGCTGACTACATAACTAGGAATCAAAATTTAATCACTCTCAGGGGAGCAGGATTATCCAAGCTTGAATGGTAAAGAAACCCGTAGACAAACAGAGAGGGAATGCCTTCTTTCAGGCTTGTTTAAAAAAAAAAAAAATCACAAATTAATTTAAGTTCTCTTTTCTTGAGGGAAACTCAGGGCTATGGTTAACTGAAAGGCAAGCATAGTTTTGTGTAATAATCTACATTTAGAAAAATGCAAAAAAAGAAGTAAAAATCAACATTTCTGTGAAGAAGCTACAATGTTGCCACAAAATAAGAGTAGAATGACTTATCTACTCTAAAAATGTTTTTAAACTAGGCAAGAGATTCTGAGAGCATCCTAACTTTGAGTAAAATACTATTTTTACAGTACAAATACATATATTTGAAAATGTATCGCATGATTTAACTGTTTTTATTGAACGGAAATGCACTACCATTTACAGCTGCTACTTAAAATATCAAATTATTAAAATAATAATTATAAAATTTCTATAATTAAAAAATCATGATATAATATTAGTCATTTTATTTAGTAACTCTGTTTAAATTGCAGTCAAATATTTGATTCATGACACTAATTTTAATTGATGATATTTGAAGGTCAAGTTGAAATATTTAAATCCATGTCATTTAAAACACCAATGAAGCAGCAGGCGCTTTAAAAAAGTAGTGATTTAAAAATAAATATGTATGTAAATCTTGAAGACCTAAACAAAAAAATTGACTCAATACAAGCTACATGCAGTTATAGCTCTTAAGTAAACATGCTTACAATATAGTGCAGAAAATTAAAACCACTTCTATTGTTCCAGTTCCAAAACACTCCAGCTCAGCGTGACTAAACGATGCCGCCCTGTACCACTCGCACATTGTCATGAAGTGTTTTGAGCAACTGGTCCTGGCACATCTGAAGCACTGCCCACCATCCACCAGATCCATATCAGTTTGCCTATCTCTGTAACAGAAGTACAGAGGATGCAGTCTCCATAACACCATCTGTACTCACACATCTGGACAATAACACATATGCACGTGTGCTGCTCGTTGATTTCAGCTCAGCATTCAAACCAGCCAAGTTAGTCTCTAAACTTAGAGATTTGGGCATTAACACCTCCCTCTGTCACTAGATCATGGACTTTCTAACCAACAATCCTCACATTGTTAAGTCAGGCCACATCTACTCCACCATCATACTAACCACAGGTGTACCACAGGGCTGTGTGCTGAGCCCATTCCTCAACTCCCATTTCTCTAACGACTGCAGGTCTGTGCATGGATCTAGTTCCATACTAATGTTTGCTGACACCACCACAGTGATTGGCCTCATCAGCAACAATGAAGAGACAGCCTACAGACAGGAGGTACAGCACCTGGTCACATGGTAAGTTGACAACTGTCTGCTCCTTAAAACCAGCAAATCAAAGAAGCTCATTGTGGACTTCAGGAGGGTGTGAGGAGGCACTCATGACCCTATCCACATTAACAGTACAGCTGGTGAACGTGTCTCCAGCTTCAAGTTCTTGGGGCGCCACATCTCAGAAAACCTGTCCTGGACCACCAACACCTCCAGCCTTGTCCAAAAAAAGCTCAATAATGATGCTTTTTCCTGAGGAAATTGAATAAACACCACCTTTCCATGGCTTTCTATCCTGGTGAAGTTTCACCAGTAATGTCTCTGTATGGTACAGGAACTGCACAGTCACAGACTGTAAGTCACTGCAGCGGGTGGTGAAGACAGCTTAGCACATCATAGGGTCTCCACATCCACTCATTGCAGACATCCAGAGGAAACGCTGTCTGCACCGAACTCGCAGCATTCTCAAGGACTCCTCTCACCCTGCACATAAACTATTTGCCTGCTTGCCCTCCAGCAGTTGCTTCAGGAGAACTCCCCCCCCCCCCCCCCAAAAAAAAACCTCTCCTCTTGATCTTGACTGTTCACATTGTACGTACCATTGTATATTATGTTTATAAACTATACTGTACATAATTCAAGATGCACACATCCATTCAGCTGGTAAAATTGTAACACTTGAATCTGTTTATAGGTCTGTAGCACACCAATCTGTATATTGTGTATGTAGCACATTCATATGATATCTATCCTACACACATATCTGTATATCATGATCACCGTATAATACAGTAATGTATACTCTATTTTGCACGACTATTAATTGCACTGATTAGATGCCAAATTGCATTTTGTTGCCGTGTACTTGTAACAACAATAAAGTTGAATCTAATCTAATCCTTTTCTGTTGTTCGTCTCTGTGTACAGTAATAATAGAAGCCTGACAAGCTGATGTTTGCCAATTACCGGTAGTCGGGTAGTGAATCTACGGCAGTCTGTTTATTAGACCGATGAACGTCCTGTAAGTTGTGGAAAACAATAGATTCAAAGCAGTCAAAGCAACAGGTGGGGCACAGGGAGCACAACTCTGAGTTACCACCACTAGATGGTGTTTAATGGTTACAGCTGCAGAACAGGATGATGAACAAATCGGTGGTTTTGGTTTTATGACATTTAAAAATTATAGCACGTTATATGGAGAAATCAGCCTGCACTTATTTCAAATTATTTCTTACAATTAGATATCTTGCAGCACACAACACCAAGTAATTTTTTGTCATTATTTAATTATTAATTCTGTTTTATTTAGCATACTTTTAATTTTATATACATAAACACTGACTTAACGAGTTGACTACCCAACAGTACTGAAAGAGTATTTATAAACAACTTTTTGCTATATATTAGTATCGACTAAAGGTTTGGCGTACCAGTCTGACAGTCCGTAAAGAGGAAGAGTGATGAGTCTCCAGCCTTTGTCAGATTTGGGCTCGCCGGCTAAACGCCACAGTCTGCTCTGCTCGTCGGGCCCTGTGCTGTTTTCCACTATCCACAAAGACAGAGAGTCCCTCTGTGACCCTCCAGAACACAGCCGGAACCGAACCTGTTGAATAAAGATGAGATTTCAAACTTGCTGTGCAAAGCTTCAGTATGTAGTACATGATAGTATTTGCCATTTCATCTGAGTAACTGAGTATTTTAGAATTGAAGTAGATCCAGTTTTTAAACACAAGTGTGGTGCAATAATCAGTTACAGCCATTTGTGTAGTTATTAAAAAATTAAAGCCTAGAAATAATTAATTCAGGATTATAATTTGTGTATCTCTCAAACTATGCTGACACGTTCATACATTGGACCAGAACCAAAAGCAACGCACGGTTTGTGACAGGATTTAAAACACAAAAATTCAAGCTAGTCTATGATCCTCAACAGCATTTTTAAAGTAAATTATTATTTTTTCATTATTTAAGTGGAACAGATGCTGGTTTAAGCCTGATGAATAAATTCAAGACATCTAAATACTGTGCTTGTGATGAATTTGGGTCTTAGCTATGAGACTCCAATTTGACAATTTAAATATTAATACTAACCCTAGATTAAAGTAAATATGACTTGTTGCCTACACCTCAAACTAGCATACAGCTGTTCATTGTCCGAGAGTGGACGGGTTAGCTCGAACAGCACAGATCCACTACAGAGACGGACTCGGGGTGAGTGATCTTGTTTCATAGCTAATCTTTGGCTGCTTGACATGAAGCATTGAGGCAACAACGTGGTTCTGCCTCCACTGCTGCTCAAAATATCACTTTCATAGTGCCCCTGAGAAGTAGAAATATGATTTTTATTTTCATCTTTGTTTTTCAATCCCATTTGCCTTGCAGACTGGATTTTTTTAATTTAGTTTTTAGATTAAGCTAATCCACTGACATTCACTGTTAACATTTTTTCTTTTCTGACCTCCTGATCTTTAAATTAGGTTTACCTCTAATACATTAACCTTTTTGAAATCCAATTTCCAACTTACTTACAAGCTGAATGTGCCAAGTAAACATAGGAATCAAAGGGTCTAAAGTTATTGTCCTAAAACAAATCAAACATACTTAAATTCATGTGACGCAGCATAAACTAAGACATCAAGTAAACAACCGATTCACACAATGGCATAATTTACAATCTCAGTGGATTACTCTTTTAACCTACGCTGTTAATTTTACTTAAAAAAATATTAAAAAGCATGAAAAAGACAAATCAAGGCTTATATCTTTTGTTACTGGAATATGAACCTGATTCTAGCAATGTCAAAAAAAACAAACATTAAATAATTGAGAACATACTTAATATTAAAACATTAGCTAAACGAAGTTAGACATTTGGCTAAATGAAATAAGCTAATTAGATTACTTCAATTATCCAATTATTTGAAGATATGAAGAATCAGCAGAATTTAACCTCTTTACTTCATTCAGAACTGAAGTTACTTTTTATCAAAGTTTAGTTGAAGCTAGCTAAATTTAAACTAAAGTCAGCTAAATAGTACCTGAAAAAGTTAGGCCAAATAAACTGGTTTAAGATGAACTAACCGTAGATACCAACATTTTTTAGTCAGATAATCTGGACAGTTTCTTTTTTTGTGCTGAAATGTTTCGCCTTCGATCCGGAAGGCTTCATCAGTCAAGGAAACACACAACAAATCTGATTCTTCCTCCAACAGCTTACTCCAAAGTGGAACAAACCAGTTCTGCTTGTGATAAGATGGCCTCTTTGGTATGCCCCTACTCCATTGCCGGCCCTCTTCATTGTTGACAGTCTTGTCAAACTGGTTCACAAGACTTCCAGATCGAAGGCGAAACGTTTCAGCACAAAAAAAGAAACTGTCCAGATCACCTGACTGAAAAACGTTGGATTTTATACCTGGATTATTGAGCATAGACTTTGTTGTTAACCATAAATAATTGAGAAACTAATTAATTTCAGGTAAATGGTTGGCAAGCTTCAACAGAACTCAACTTATTAACGTTAGCTAACCAATGTTGGAGTAAGCTAATTAGGAATCTTCAGTTAGCTAATTATTGTGAACTAATTATCAACATAAATTAATTTCTGTTATCTGTTATTTTTAACAGGACTGAGCAATTAACTAACTCTATAGAGCTAAAGCTATAGCTAAATATTTAACCAAAGTCAGCTTATACTTGAAGTTAACGAAAACATATATTTAAAATCGTTAGTTATTAAGGCAATTTAAACGGGCTTACCGTGCAGGGGGAGTTCCTCAACGGAGGGGGGAAGAGAGGACTCTTCAACAACGCAGAGACATGCTGACCTTTAGACTGGCCCCTCTCTATAGTAAATGTTGCACCTTAAACACAGATGTGCCGTAATAAACACAATGATAAAATAGCAGTGTAATTCATGATTACCATGAAGAGTTAAAATAAAAATGTCCCTCCATATGCGTGCACATACGTGCAATACAGCTTTTAAAATGGACATTACTACGTTTTATGATGTCCTTTTTTATTTTATGCACAAAAGATCAATGCAAAGGTTTTCAAATGGACCCTCTGACAGTCTGAAGTTAATCTTTCAGGTCACTGTCACAGCAGCGATAAAAACAATATATCAAACTTCTCCGAAGACCTCTCCAAAGGCATGCCTCTCCAAACCTTTAAAATCTTCTTGTGCAGCTGCACATGTAATGAAGGCAGGACTCTTGTAGCCTCCTGCACCCTGAGGGATTCTGTTTGGAGCAGTGCACTGACCTCTGACTAGGACAAAAAAATGTGTCTGGCACATCAGAAGTTTTATTCTCTCCAAACTGAATCTCAGGATTCAAATGTTCAAGGTTGTGTTACATTCAAGCATAAAGAAAAACAAACAAAATTTTTTATTTTTCTTCCTTAAAGTCTATTCTAACTAGAAAAATTGTATTTCCTGCGAAAATGCAGTGTGGATGCTTATTGCTGAAGAACTTGCAGAAAAACAGCTGAAATTAGCTAAAAAAACATGCTGAAATTGAAGAACAAGCCTTACTTAGCAGAAAAAAAAAAGCAGAAAAAACACATACTTGGTGAATTTAATAATAAGCAGCAAATAAGTTTAAATAAGCAAATAAGCAAGCACACCAAGGCTCTACAACACTTACAGAGTCTGCGGTTACGTTTTCTACACCAGCTGATCTGCACCGTGGTCATATCATCACATGAGACGTGTCAGACACAAACCTGACGGGGAGCAGCTCTGTCTGCTTGATTTGGCTGGAGACTGAACTCTTCTCCAGGAGAGACTCCTGCCTGCAATTGACTGCCAGCCGCAATCGCCTTCTTCAAAAGAGCAGTAGCTGCCGTTCAGGAAGCGACCTGGAGAGAATATATTAATGATATACATGTATAATGTTAGAAGAAAGTGCAGTGATTGCTGACGACTGAACATCCAAAGAGGAGGACAAAGATGGAGGAAAATGGCCGGCTATCAAGGAGCGGACTGACAGGAAAGAGAAAAACGAGGGCCACAAACCAACAGTGCACAGGATTTTAGGTGTTTGTGAAAATTGGGAACGAGACATGGTGAGCTCTCATATTAGAAACACAAGAACGGAAAACGTTAGAAAGTCAGAGGAAATAAGAGGTGGCACTCGAACTGAAATTTCTCAAAGCAGCACAAGGAACCTGAGCATTTCTGTCACTCCTTAGAAAGTTTTATGTTTCTGCTCAACTTGTTCAACCTGTTACTGAAATATTAATCCTAAATAGGTGCATCTGTTCAGCTTTTGAGTTTAAAGACTTAAAATGAGTAGAAAAAGTCATGTTTAAAAATGTTCACAGGCATCAAAGTTTAATAAACACATTCAAGGTGCTACATGATAACCTCCTGCACCATGTTTTCATCAGTGTGGTTGTGGATCAGGAAACCTGCAAGATTCTTTCCAGCAGATACAACCTTCTGTGGTTTTCTCCACACATAATTAACTCCATATTCCTACCTGCTCAAAGGGTGCTACAAAACGATTATTCAAAGCAGAAACACATTTTACCAAGTTGTGGGAAGAGCTCAGACGTTGAGACTTGAAAGCTCAACATAGAGATTAAAGATGTTGCCATCAATTACGGCTTCCAAAACTGTCCAGGGCAGCCGACTCGGGACCCGAAGGTCCTGGGATCGATTCTCGGTCATTGCACATCTCGTGGTGTCTCTGAGCAAGACACCCAATCCTGAACTGCTCCCCGGGCACTCACATAGATGCCCACTGCTCCACCTGGGTGTATCCCAGGTGCGATGGTTAAAATGAAGAGAGCCAATTTCATCTTTGTATGGGAACATACAATGAGAACACAGCAATTTTTTGTAATTCATTTAATTTATATATATATATATATATATATATATATATATATATATATATATATATAAACGCCTTATATAAATTTATGCTAATGCCATTATAATAATATTGCTTATTTTACTTTTTTCATTTGCAACGTGTATTCTATTATTAAGTAAAACTCATCTTATTTTACACAGATCACAGAACAGTCATCTCCTTCTCCTTCCACAAACTAAATTAAGGACCATGGGAGATCGGGCATTCTGTGTGGGTGCCCCCCGCCTCTGGAACTCCCTCCCTGAATATCTGAGAGCTCCACAATCATTGATTGACTTTAAAAAAGGCTTAAAGACTTTTCTTTTTAAGCAAGCCTATTCTGCCTCCACATGATTGTATCACTGATTTTAGTTGATTTTTATCACTGATTTTAGTTGATTTTATCATTGATTTTAGTTGATTGTATCACTGATTTTAGTTGATTTTTATCACTGATTTTAGTTGATTTTATCATTGATTTTAGTTGCACTCTGTAGCACTGAGATTTTTGTTAATGAAAAGTGCGTTACAAATTAAATTCATTATTATTATTATTACACAACTCAATACTCAATAAGTAGCATCACCATGCCATGGCAGCTCCTTGAGGATGGAAGATTCACTGAATCAAGCACGTAGCAAGTAGGAACATTAAGCGCAAACAAACTTTTATTAACTTACTGCCTGGAGAGGGGAAACCTGAAAGAATCCAAAAAAGTAACCATGGAAGAGGAAGTGAGGAAGTGCTACCAGCTATGACACAGAATAAAGGAATCCAGGAAGAGTTTCTACAGAGGGAACAGTTTTCTGATGGACTACAGGTGTGAGAATCAGACCCTGAGGCCTGAAAGAGCTAACTGGGACTGGAGCTGGGAGTTAAACCACGAGACAAAACTTACAAAAATGATTTAAAACTATGTTCAGTTTGACATAAAAATAGGGAAATACAAAATATAGAAATCAGAAGAACAATTCAAAGTAAACTAGAGAAATTGCATTGCCTGTAAAAATGTGATGTGAATGCTTGAATTGCAGAACTTGCTGAGAACCACCTGAAATTAGCTAAAGAAATAAAAAAATCAAAAATTCTGAAATGTAGCTGACATTGAACAACAAACCTAAATTAGCAGAAGAAAGCAGAAAGAACACATATTTGTTGAGTTAGGTTTAAATAAGCAGAAATTAGCACAAAAAATAGGAAACTTGCTAAAATAAAATGAAAATAAAAAAAAAATCTGAAAAGTAGTTGAAAAGGCAGAAAGAAGCTTAAACTACCAGACGGAAGCAGAAAGAGCTGAAATGAGCTGAAAAGTGGAATTAGTTGAAAAAGATAAAAATTTGCATCAAAATAGCTAACTGAAAATAGCAGAAAAAAGATGCAAGGACCATAACAAGCTGAAATTAGCATAAAGAAGCTAGAAGAAGCACACAAATGTTGTAATTAGCAGCTAAATTAACCTGAAAGGAGCACAAACCCACTGAGAAAAACAGCTGAATTTAGCTGAAAATAGCTGAATTTTTTTAAAAATTTGCACAAGGAAGCTGAAGCTGAACTGGAACAAAAAGTAAATGTAGCAGTAAAAGGTTGTAAACAGATGTAAAGATGTGAAGGATGTAAAATGAGCTCATTTCATTTTGAGGGAAAAAATGGTAGAAAAGGCTAAATATTCAATACCAAAAGTCATAACACCTTTCTCCTGAACGAGTTGAATGTTTTGATATATGATTTGTTGAAATAGCACAAAAATTGTGGAACGAGAAAGATGCTGAAAAACATATGGAAGGAAAATGGATCACTATAATGTGAATGCTTCATAAAATAAAACCTGCTGTTGTAAATTTGTGTCTGCAGTCAGAAAATTTCAAAAGCTGAAGGGACACACATCAAATGTTTTACATTGAACAAGTGATCACGAAGTGCTGCAAAAATAAACAAAAAATCCTATCACTTTTTGATGTAATGATATAATTTTATTAAAAGCCTTCAGGTCCACATTCATCTGTTGATGGAGTGAATTTCAGGTAAGTGACCCACTTCCTGTAAAACAGTGAGATGCAGTTTGAAGAGGCTAAAAGCTAACTGCTACACTGAACAGGAAATGAGTCGAGCTCAAACTCATTAATTTAATGGGGCTATTTTAAAATCTGAACAAAAAAAAATCATGTAAATTAAAATAATAATTGGGCTCCCATTTTCCCATTAGTGGTGCAAATTGTATAAAAGCTCAACTGAAACCTGAAGGTTTGTCAAGTTTTTTGCAGATAATCTGAAACATTTTCATAATCTTTGCTTTAATCTGAATGAAAACCTAAAATGAAACTTTAAAAACATAGATTTCCAGGTTTTTAACCACAATTAGTTAAAGTCAACACAAAGTGCCTTTAATTATTGATAACCTACCATACATTGACTCCTTATTGTTTATTAAAGCTTTTCTGTGTAAAAAAGGCTTTAATTTGTTTTACTGATGATATATATTAAATTATGCAGAGGTCATTAAGTAAATATTTTCAAACTAAATCTAAAACTTCTGGATAATAAGTATAAAAATATGTCGTGTTTGACTATTTTCTGACACAAATCCTTTTTTATTCCACAAATCAGTCACTGTTTGATAACCCTCATGTAAAAAGCAAAAATTCAATAAAGCCACACCATGCGTGTCATATAAACAGAAGGTTTAGTTTTATTTCTGAATATCACATCGTAAACATGTTAACTCTGAAGTAGTTTTTATTCAGATTTTTAGTTTTGATAGTTCGTGATCCTTGCCAGCAATATATTTATTAGTGTTTTTGTTGAGGAAAAAGAAAAAGCTGTTATCATAAATTTAAATGCACATGTAAAATAAGGTCTTTTAACCTCAATAAATATAGACTGTCTGTATAAATGTAAATTATTGTGTCTCAGAGGACAAGTACGGGTCAACATAAATCAGCTAAAGCACTTTTTTATACTAACGTGAATTACAAACTATAGCAAGAAACTCCTGCAAATAAAACATGGAAGTTTAATGTTTTAAAAGTAATGTTTTGACCTAAATGCTTATTTTTCATCCTTCTCATCTTTTTATTATGTGACTTGTATGTACAAAAAATGTTAGTCAATTCAAACATCTCTGAAATGTTTCACTCTGAGTCAAAGAACTGACTACAGGAATTTTAAACATTAGTACACAATTTCTAATTTGCATTTAAAACAGCAACTTTCACGTCAGATTGTCTTTTTGTGATCTGACCTGCTTGAATATTACAAGAGGAAAATGATGTAAACAGGACAAATATTTTTCTCCACATACTTTAGGTACCTAATCATAGAGTCCAGTGTCTGAAGTCTTACAACTAAGATTCTTTCTGAACCACAAGACAAGTAGAAAAGACTGTTTTTCTTGTTTGAGTAAAATATTTTAAAGTCAATATTATTGTGTGAATGTTTATGAAGCATTCACACTGTTGTGATCCATTTTTCTTGCGTACTTTTTTTGGAATAATTCTCACTCCACAATTTTTGTGCTATTTCAACAAATCATAGCTCAAAAATATTCAGCTCGTTCAGGAGAAGGGTGCTCTTTTCAGATTATTTCAGCTAACTACAACATTTTTGTGCTAACTTCTTTCTGCTAATTTCAGCTTGTTATGCTCCTTTCAGCTTATCTGTGCAAGTTTAACCTTTTTCTGCTATTTCAGTTCCTTTTTAGTTGTTTTATGCAAATTAGAGCTTTTTCAGCTAATTCCACATTTTTTTTACACTCATTTAAACTTTTTTCAGCATAATTCAGCAAAAATGTGCTCTCTCAATTTCCTTCTTGTAATTTCAGCTTCTGTCTGCTTGTTTTAGCTACGTTTCAGCAGGTATTTTTTTGTGCTAATTTAAACTTTTTTTCAGATAATTTTTACTTTTTTGTAATCAGTTCTGCTGCTTTCAGCCTAAAAGGGACAAACACGTTCTCTGCTTTCTTCTGCTAATTTAAGCTTCTTTTCACTTTCCAGCTACCATTTTTGGCATTTTTAGCTATTTTCAGCTATTTTCAGATAAATTAAAGTTTTTATGCAAATGTCTGCTACTTTCAGTCTAATTAACATGTTTATGCTAATTTCAACTTGTTTTGCTCCTTTCAGCTTTTTTTTCTCTTTCAGCCACTATTTACCTCTTTTGATGCTAATTGTAGCTTTTACAGCTAATTCCACTTTTTTGAGCTTATTCCAGTTCTTTCCACCTCCTCCTGGTAGTCTAAGCTTCTTTTTGCCTTTTCAGCTACTTTTCAGCTATTTTTTTTTGTAATTTCAGCTTTTTTTAAGCTAATTTCACAATTTTTGTGCTCATTTCTGCTTATGTAAATCTAATTCAGCAAGTACGTGTTCTTTTGGCTTTCTTATGCTATTTTAGGCTCGATCTTCCATTTCAGCTACATTTCAGAAAGTTTTAAAGCTAGGTTCAGCTGTTTTTCAGCAAGTTCTTCTGCAATAAGCAGTCACACTGCATTTTCACAGGAACTGCAATGTCTCCCGTTTAATTAGATGTGTTAATGTGTTCTATTTTTGTGCTAATCAGTTTTGTTTGACCCCCTTTTCTTTAAGTGATCATGTTTACCTCATCTTCAGACTGATTTGAAATAAACTTCTTACGCACTTTAAATTTGACATAATTTGTAAAAAAACACCTGAAACTTGGCCTGCCTCTCATTTGAACATGTTTAAGATGCCAATACATATTTTAATGTGTTTACCTATTTAGAAGTTGCATTTTGAGATGGGATAAGGCCTTAGCTACTTCTGTAAGGTCCTTCCTGCAAACATATAATCTTCCTCCATAAATAAGTTAAACAAAAAATAAATAAAAACCTCACAGACTCTTATGCTTTGATGCGAAGCAGCATTTCCGTTTCGTTACAGGGTGACGGTGGAGCTGGAAAGCAGTGGGACACCTGCAGAATTTAGACGGACTGAGATCAACTAGAGGAAGCAGAGCCTCTCACAGAGAAGAGGATGTGTTTGTGCATAATGATGATGCAGCGGTAGGATGGCGAGGCCTGATCCGCAGGGACTCGAGTTTCCTTATACATCAGGAATCTTTGTGATTGACACCAGCTGATTTTGTTCTTCCTGCTTCTTCCTGTTAATAAGCCTTGGCAGAGCTTATGAAGGATTTAAATAGATCAGATCAGATGCAGATACCTCATGGATGGATCATAGAGAATATGGTATCAGAGGCAGTGCCATATGATTTCTGCAGCATGGGGTAATCATCATGGGTGAGTTTGACGAATATAGAATGAATTATAGATCTGCAGGTACAGATGTAGGCTGTGTGTAACAAACAAAAGACATCTGAAAGAGTCAGGCGGACTTGATGAAAAGAAACTTGTGCAGAATCGGTTCTTGCTCTTTGTAAAATAAGATATTAAAATTGTTACTCTTTAAAGGAAAGCTCCGGAGTTGGAAACAGATGACCTTTAACACATCGTTGTATGCACGAAGGTGTGCATAAATGCATTTTTAAGCCACGAATAAACTTTCTCTGCGAGACTCATCTGGTTTTATCAAACACGACACTTCAGCTTCCACGATGCAACCCATAAATCAAACCAGCGACACACACACAGGCCGGATTGTTCTCAGTTGTCCACGTGACGCTTCAAAAATCAAAATGTTACACACACATTGCATTTAAATGAAGATTACACCCCCGGGTTAGCGTCTCAAGCCAATTAGCACTGATAAATCCTCTCGCAGCAGAAAGGGAATCTTCGCCTGGCTGGGATTTTCACCCTATCGTTACCCCCTTATCTCTCAGCTCCCATTGTTAGCAAACCTAAACACACAAGGGAGCGGGCATCATTTTAATAAGCAGCACATGGGAGGCTGACCTGCACTGCGGGCAGCAGCAAATTAATTCTAGTTAGTTTAATAGGAGTGAAAACTCCGGGATGAGCCACATCATTATAGTTTTATTTTTTTAGTAGTATGTGGGATACGTCTAAACATCAATAAATTTGGATGATAACATAAAAATCTATGCATGCAGGCAGCACTAAACAAAAAAAGTCCCACACAAACAGAAAGCATCCGGCCTTGGGGACTTGTGAATAAGATGTCAGCACTCTTGGCCAGTGTTTGTTCTGAGCCCTGAGAAAAGCAGAAACAAATGTGCAAAGAGATGGAATTTACAACTGTGGAATATGTCAAGGGTGAGAAACGCTGGTCAAGCATATCTGTGCTGGGCTTTTTTTGTGCGTCTTTTCTTTCTGTATCGCTGTCAGGAGGTCAGTTGTTGCTTCATTAAGGGTGATTCACTGCAGCATGGCTGAACAACCTCACAACCGAATGAAAAGATAAAAGATAAGTCAGAGAAACATTCTTGGGTTTGTGCATCACGCTTTACTTACGGCAACGGTCGCCCTCGTCGTCCCCAAGTGGACAGTCTGTTCGGAAGTCACACAATTTGTCCAGGGGGATCCCTGGGCCCTGGTGGCAGTGGTACTGGCCCTCCAATGTGATGTTTGGACCAAGTGAGGATGCTGGGAAATAAAGAAGAAAATGGATCGCTTAAAATAGAGCAGTCATGATTTTGATTGGGCTCCTCTCCAAAGAGAATACAGCCAAGAGACAAGAAAACTTCCAAGTCTGCCAATAGAAATATAGTCTTTGCAAGAGAATTTTTCTTTAAGCGGACCTTACTGAGTTTTAAATGAAGGGCACTGATTTAGATAATGCAACCACAACAAGCTGTTGAGCCATGGATTCATTTTTGAACATCCCTGCAGATTCACTGCCTTATGTTAGATATAAAAGCTCATGCAAAACATGAACGGTAAAAATTAGAGAGGGGTACATCAGCTTTTGACAAGTCCCTGTCTGTAAACATGGCATGACAACTGCAGTCTATCTGCACCATCATAAATTACTCGGCACAGGCTGCATGAGTTGTGATTACAGTACACAACCAACAGACGGGAAACGGAGGCAGCAAAAACCATGACCTAGTTACCGTTAGCGGGTTGCTCGCACACAATAAAACCAATTGATATCACTCGTCTCTGCTGCACAATTGTCACTATCTACATTTGCATATCTATGCAAATCTGAGATGTGTTATCTCTGAGTTCTGGAAACTGACTGCTCACTGTCACCTTAATCATCTGAAACTGATCAGAGCCAGGAGAAGAAAAACAGAAGAGCAGGAAGCTAAAGCGTACACTGATGGGGATCTTGTTTGTCTCTCTCTGTCATAAGGAAAAAGAAAAGAAGTGATTGTTATCATGGCTGACTGGCTGAGCTCTCTGTAGTTTGCCCTTGATCTGTAATATGCAGATTTGTTCTCTGTTCGGGCGAACTTGGAGTCGAAAGACTGATAACGATCCCATGACATGGAGTTTCAGTGTACAGCAAAAGCTGTTAGATGAGCTGACAAGACAGTCAGTGAAGCCACATTCAATTTCAACGTTGCGTTTGAAATAAATCCACTGTTACACCTATAGACCTATTTTAAGGAGCTTAGATTTGCATCAAGATAGGCTCAAATAAGTGAGACAAGACTAAATATTATACAATATAAAAACTGCTACATTTTAGTAGCAAATACAAAACTGGGGGAAAACAAGCCTCAACAACTTTTGTTATGTCTTTTTTCAAAGGAAACCATAAAAAAGCCCAGTATTAGGAAGAGGGCCACCTGCAACATGAAGGACCCCACTCACCCAGCACACACTTTTTGCCCCACTCCCCTCAGGAAGGAGGTTGAGGAGCATTAAGTGTAGAACCACTAGACTGAGGAACAGCTTCTACCCTGAGGCTAAGACTCACAAAGCTCTAACCAGAACAATCACTGTGAAAAAAAAATCACATCATGTTGCTGCTGATCTGTTTCATGTTGCTGCTGATCCGTTTCATGTTGCTGATCTGTTTCAATGTTGATGTGTTCATGCGTACTCATCTGCTCACACGGACTCATGTTCATGTTTGTGCTGATGTTCGACATAATGTTTTTGTTATGAGTGCTTAGTGTATATTTAGTTGATGTTTTTCTTAGTTCATATATTATATGTTATTACTGTTTTTCTTTTACATTTTATTGTTGGATGTAACTGGGACTCTGTGTACATAATTTCGCTCCACCACATGTACCACATGAGGTCCGAATGACAATAAAGAAACTCTGACTCTGATTATGTTGCTTTCTGACACCAGGACCTGTTCTCATGTCTTTGTGGTAACCTCAGATGCTGAATTGTAATTGTACGCAGCGAGTAGTAACGGTTGAAATGTTTACAGCCAGCCATCCTGAAAGGCTGGCAATTATGTAAATGCTTGGGTATTTTCAAGCGAAGTTGACAATTTTTCGGACTTCTGCTTTTACTGGAAATGTTAAACAGGCCACCTTTAAGTGTTAAAAGGCTGCAACATGTATACCGTTGGTGATTTTTGGATTCAGTACTTTGTTTAGATCTGCTTGTTGTTCATTGAAGGCCTGTTTTTCTGGCATTTTTACTTTAGAATACAGTAGTTTAGTCACCTTTGAACCAAATAAATAAACATGTTTCATTATAAAATATAGATATTACTTTAAAAAAAGGATTATGAAAGTTCAGATTATTGAACCGTGTGCATTGTATTTGACTGCATTCATATCCTGGAGAAAAAGCTAACACCCCCGAGTTCTGACTATAAATTACATCCTGGCTGAGACCTGCTGAATTCGAGGCCTTTTTACAAATCAATTTTGCAACATGACCCCGAAGAAGAGCCCTAAATCTTTATTGACAGCTGGTCTCAGACTACATCAACCCTCAAACTGCGATGCCAGCTTACTCTTTGGCATACGTATTGACTCTGTCATCACTTTGCTTGGCAGCTCAGAGACATAACAACAACAGGTTGACTTAAACTCCTGTACTCCTTTTTTTCAAAAATACTAGAAAAAAGTGCGTATAAAATGATTCTCCATTATTTAGACCATAATTCAATTCTTTACAAACACCAATTTGGTTTTAGGAAGAATCATTATACGTATATGGCTTTGCTTCATCTTGACAGTGAAAATGCACTTGAAAATAATGAATTCTCCTGTAGCATTTTTATTGATTTATCAAAAGCATGACACTGTGAATCATCATATTTTAATGTAAAAACTTTGTAAGTATGGATTTCATGGTATTGTTTACAAATGGCTAAATGGTTACATTTGCAATAGGCAGCAATTTGTTAGCTTTAAGGGTTGCAATTCTAACAGAGCTAAGATACATTGTGGAGTTCCTCAAGGCTCTATTCTTGGACCACTGTTATTTCTTATTTACATAAATGATTTAACAAATGTTTCCAATGTTCTTTCACCAGTCATGTTTGCTGATGATGCAACACTGCTTCTTTCTCATTCACATTTTGATTCAATTTTGAAAAACGCAAATCTTGGCTTGAGCACCTACGCTTCATGGTTTAGATTAAATAAACTATCTCTAAATCTGAAAATGTCAAATTTAATTATTTTTAGTGGTAAAAGGTAATATTTTGGAAAATGTTAAAAATTTTGTATTGATGGCATTGCGATACAACAAGTATCAACAACAGTTCTTGGAATTATCTTAAGGTGGAAAGACCATACGGATTGGATTTGTAGAAAAATGCATAAATCGATTGGTATAATAAAGAGGGTTAGTCATATCACTGCATAATGCTTGCTTACACTTTATTATAGTCTGATGTACCCATATCTTTTGATTTCAATATAATTTTCCACATTTTTGCATAAAATTTTGGGTCTTCAAAAACGCTTTGTTAGAATTGCAACTCAATCAGATTCTCATTGTCCTTCTGCTCCTCTGTTCAATAATTTACAAATTCTTACTATTCATAATGTTAACATTTTTCAAATTTATATTTTTGTTTATAAGATATATGTAAGTCAAGAGAATATACTAAATCATTTCACCCATTACTTTAAATCAAATATGCAGTTTCATTCTTAACTCGCCACAGCTCAGCACTTCATCTTCCTAAATATCAGACCAGCAGAGGTCAGTTTTCTCTCCGTTACAGGGATGCTAAAGTTTGGAATGATTTTTCACATTTGGTAACACGCAGGTCTTCTGTAAAAGAGTTTAAACAATATTTAAAACTTTACTTAAAGAATTGTGATTGTCACTTTTTAATTGTTGCATATTTTATTCACATTTGTATTAATTCTTTGTAGATGTGTTTTTTATTTTAAATTTTTTTGTATCACTGTATTCCTAAATTTACGATCAAATGACTGTATTCCTGGATTGTATTACTTGTATTATTTATATGTACTGGGTGGAGGCTATAAGTACATTGGGCGTTTGCCTCTTCCTGCACTGTTATTATTATATATTTTTTCTTAATATCTTTTATCTGTATTTTAATTGTGCAAAATAAACTAAACTATAATCTTGGTCATTTTATAAATCACACTTGAGAAGAAGGCTGATCAGGTCTGGCTTCAAAGTGTTTTGTCAAAGGAGCTACTGTAGATGATTAAGTGAATGTCAGTAAGTGGGAAATCAGGTGGAGACAGATTTAAAACTTGGAAAACAGGCAAAAAATAACTCGGATTTTGATTTGGATCATTTTAATTGAAGCTGTAAAAGTATGATGCGTCCATAAAACTATGATGTTCGATGTGTTTTGCCGAGTGGCTAATCCATATACAGTTTTACTGATTAAACAGTCCACAATCAAATTAAAAGATTTAATGGAAATGGTTCAAGTGGACACCTGTAAAAAAAACTGTGCCAGCTTCAGTAGCAAATTTGTTCTTCTCTCATGCTCAGTTGGAAAAAACAAAACAAAAAATGGACAGAAAATTAGCATCCATTTCCTAACCAAGCCTCATTCTCAGCACACATCTATGCTGGTTGTGTTAGAATCATCAGAGCCTATTCAACAACTGGCACACTTAACTATGGATTAGAAAGAGTGGGGGACATTTATTTTAGTTTTTATATGGGAGAAAAACACATTAGCCTGAGGCCTCCCACGGCCTACTGCAATGGCAGGACCTTCGTGGCTGCAGAAAGCCATTTCAACACGCCGGTGAATAACCTACTTCACATTCTGAAAATCTTGCCCGAGAATGATTTTGATGAATAATCTTTTCTGTCAGGGCTTATAAATGATCCTCTTTTTGCTAACTAAAAGCGAGGATGGCGCATAAAAATACAAATTCATAGTCGTGCTATTACCAAAGGAAATCGTACATTTTTATTCTAATTATTAAAGGTGGAGGCTTGCTTGTTTAACACCAAGCGTTTGGGCAAAGATGTGGTTTTCTTGTGTATTTCTTCTTACTCAACACATGTATTATGCATTTGTTGTGCTCAGTATCTTCCTCCCTGTGCAATGGCACTGCAAGCATTTATCAAAACAAAAAAGTTATTCAGAGAACATTTCAACCTCTGAGCAATGAATGTAAATTCATTAGTCTTTGTTTTATGGTGGTGGAGATATAAAAGTGGTGACGTGGTGAACTTTAGGAGCCCTGTAGCAGGTAAGTTTAGACAAA